TCTGTCTGTCTGTCTGTCTGTCTGTCTGTCTCTCTTTCTCTCTCTCTCTCTCTCTTTCTCTCACACACACACACACACATTATACTAGATACTCACAATTTCAGATCATGGAAAAGCAGATGAAGCAATAATGATAGATCTACCAATTAAAGAGTTTAAGAAGATCCCCAACACCTTCCATCCCCCATTATTCCACCACCCCCCCCCAAAAAAAAGTGGTAGTCGGACAAAGAAAGTACCGGTACCAAAAAACCAATCGATGGTACTTTGTGTTTAGACAACTTTTCGCAGACCCAGGTAACATATCTTTCACTAGTACTAGTAGAATACAAGCTCAATTTGGGCATTTAGACAGGGAAAAAAACACAATTTATAGCGGATATAACAAAGTTGAAGTGTGTTGAGTTTGTACATAAAGTGTCAGTCTGGTAGGACCACAATCACATTGTCATTATTTTTATCTATATTTTTTCTATTCATCAAAATATTTTCGTCACCCTTTGGAAATCGAAAGAAACTCAGATTTTGATTTTATTTGGTGCAGTTTATAGCAGAACGCCATTGACGCTTCGTGCTAACTGGGTCCATGCTTGTCTGTGATCAACGAAAATGCTTTGAACAATGGACTGGACGCAGTTTGTTTTGTTTACCGCGCGATTCTCCATGATCAGCTGGTCACCCAGATACGCGCATCCGGGCGAAGTGTCATCTGATCTCTCTAGTATTACTGTAACTCTCTGGTAAACTGGTAATATGTCGCGGTCTCAAAACTCTGAATGAGCAAGTTACAGGTCTGTTGGCAAAGTCACTAGTTAAAGTAGATCTAAATCTTTAACAGATCCAGAGTATGAACATGAATCTAGAATACACACAGCGAACAAACGTTTTAAATTATTTGAACAAGATTTTTAAAATTGTAAATTAATTGTTTCGAGAGTAACAAATTATAGTTTTTAGTGTTAGGCTCTTGTCTTGGCGGTGAATGTAAACAAGAAGCCAGGCGGAATCAGGAAACAAACAAATCAGTCGCCTACTCGCCTGCACGACCCTGCAGTCCTGCAGAAAAATACGAGAACTTTTGTTGACTCTCATTCGTTTCTTTTGTCCCCCTCCATTCTCGGTGGTATGAGAATGGTTGCTTAGATTGTAAGATTGATGAAGAATACAGACCAGCAGATTGGGACTTCTAGATTCTAGAATCTAGAAAACCTCATCTAATCTAGATCTATATCTAGATCTAGATCTAGATGTAGATATCTAGATCTAGAATCTATAGATCTATAGATATAGATTCTAGATTAGATCTAGTCTAGCCATCGTTTCTGTAAAGGGTAGCGATATTTCGACGGCATGCCATTCTAAAAATAGGAAATAAAATGGTTTAATCACCTGGAACAAATGTCATCTAGCCAGGCAGCCTCGAGAGCCTATAAGTCTAGACCAAGTACTCAGGCTATAAAAGGAAGAGGTGTACGGCTCACAAACGATGGATGAGAAACTATAACAAACCCATCTGAAAGTGCTGCAGAGTTGGCCTACTATAGAAAACTGCATCTCCTCTCGACACTTAACGGCAATAACGGCAGCAGAGGATGAAACAGTGAAAGTGGAAGGACGTCCGTAACGAGCGACCACCCTATCAAACACAATTTTAAAGAAGAGGCCTAGACCTAACTTTTAAAGAAGAGGCCTAGACCTAACTCTAAACCTAACCCTACCCCTACCCCTACCCCTACCCCTACCCCTAACCCTACCCCTACCCCTACCCCTAACCCTAACCCTACCCTTACCTCTACCCCTACCCCTACCCCAAGCCCTCAATTCTGCTCTGTCTCATAGTGGTCGCTCGTTACGGAAGTCCTCCCGTGAAAGTAAGTATTCTCCTGCGTTTGTATCTTTCAAGTTCAACCAGAAGTTTTTGTTCAATCAATCAATGTATTCCTTCTTCTGATATTGTGGCAGTAGCATGAGCGAGAATAGAGGGAAGCAAGACAATTTTCCTCTTCAACTGTCCAGCTAAAGATGCTTAGCAATGAAGATGAAGCCTTACTTCAGGATGCTGCCTTTCAACTCATTGCTTCCAGTGTGGACCCTAAAGCACTCTTTCAAGAGGTACCGTCGTTCTGTTGGAAGTGTCTCGGAAGTTTCCTTGAATGTTTTGTGTTGGTACTTTGTTGTTGAATAGCTAGTGGGCTAGGGTTCATGAAGAAGAGCTGGGTCGCGAGAACAGTATCGCCTTCCGATTCACTCCCCTGTCGCTGTCACCACCTTGTGGCTTGTTTGTAACCTAGCCTACTGCTGGGTCGCGAGTCAAGTCGCGAGGACAAGAACGGAGCGGAACACTTAGTATGGCTCCTCTTAATTTACAAAAGATGGTATAGTCCAACCCCCCAATTAAAACAAAATGAACGGGTTCCAACCAGTAGACAGATGGAATTTTATGGAGCCATTGTTTTAGCGAATCATGGGGTGGGGGGGGGATGTATGGGGTCGCTAATTGAGGTCAGTAGAGCAGCGCAACGAAGGGTGGGAGGCGGAGAGGATGGCGGGGCAACAAGAGTGGGACTCGTGAAGTGGCGTTGATATGACACTGTTCCGTTTTCACGCGTACAACGAGCTCGAAGCTTAGTGTTCCACAAGCGCTCACGAACTGGCGATTCTTTGAAGCCGACTGAATCGCAAATCGCCACTCTCAGATTTGGCGAGGAGGATCCAGCTCTATCATGAAGAATGTGCTTTAGACGGCCGCATCCGTGAACCAGACAGGTTTACCCTTGCTCAGAAGAAAGATGCTTCACTGGATTGGTAATGGTGGACTACAGTTGAAAGTTGTTATAATAACAATAAAAATAATAAATGAATTTATAACTTGCCAGAATCCACGAAAAGTGCTTGATGGCGATTACAAAACACACACACACACATTCCCACACACCCACAAAGGCTCTAAAGCTCAGTACCACTACGACATGCAAAAACCCCCCACAAAAACCTCACAGATATTTCAGGTATAGAGTTACAGCATTATAAATATACTTTCCTGAAAAACATTGTTGATTTAAATTGATCAATTGAAAGAGACATTTTAACATCCAAATTGTTCCAAAGTTTGGGGGCACAGATGGAAAAGGCCCTTGTTCTGGACCTAGGCATGCAGAGGTGATGGTCATTTGAAGATCTTAAATTAGGAGATGGTGCGTACATTTCCATAAATTCTGAAAGATAATTTGGTGAGCACTGATGTAACGATCTATAAACCATGCACAAAATGTTTAATTCAATGCGCTGTCTCACCGGCAACCAATCAGAATATCATGAGCATGGTCTGGAATTTTTCTCAAAGTTATGAGTCTTGCTGCCCTGTTTTGAATCTTTTGAAGTCTGGCAAGAGTAGAATCTGGAATGCCAAAAGGAAGGGAATTAGTATTACAACAATCAAGGTGACTTAAAATAAAAGCATGAACAAGAATTTTCAAAGAATTATCATGTCGTGTTATTTATTAACAGTTATTTGTTTATAACTGTTTGACTGTGATTCATGATAAAATAGCTGTCCCCCCTGGGATCAGTAAAGCTGTCTTAGACTTCTTGTTCATGTTCATCTTCATTCTGCTCTTTCTCTATTGGTTTACACTTGACAGTGACACCCTTTCTTTGTGCATAATCATTTTCTCAAGATGAAAAGCACTGTAAGATTTGAACTTTAAAAAAAAACAATTTCTGCTGTGACACAATAAGACGACACACAATGAATGTTTAGACTCAATATAAAACACACAATATCTGTTACACGCAGTAACTATAGGACACACAATGACTGTATACAGGACACACAAAGAATGTGTTGTGATGCAATAGCCTCCATATCCAATCTGTAAGATGTTATTATTATATGAGAATGTTGGACAAAAATGAAAGTTCTCACATTTGAAACTGCTCTTGCCAATTTTTTTATTCTTAAGATCATGAAAAAAAAATAGAACTTTCCGTCTTGTGTGCATACATTTATGAATTTTGCACTTTTCTTTTTAGAATAATTTTCAAAAGTGGTTCTCACTGTATGAACTTTGCTTGCTCAGTAAGGGAAGCATCTTCCAACTATTGAAAATATCAATGCTGGGCTTTTCACCAGATGGTTTCATTGTCAAAGAAAGCCAGGCTTGACAGCACCAACTCTCTCAGTGGCTCTCTTCATGGTATGTTCAAATGGACTACATAGTTTTCTTTTTGTCTTCAGTGCTTTTCTAGATGCTATAAATTAAATAAATATTTCTCTGTTAAAGAGTGTGGAGTGGACAAAGTTAGAGGATTAATTGAGATATTTGAAGTACGTAGTGACCTCTGACTGGTGGCTGTTTTCTTTCATCATTCTCAATGTGAAACTCAGATCTGACATCCAGGATCTACTTCACAAACTTTTGCACTTGTTGGCAATACGTAGATTCTGTTTTATTTTTCTCTAAAAATCGTACATGAAAACTGAAGTAACAAAATGTCAAATGAATGGCTGTTCATTAAGTAAGCTTATTTTTAAAGGTCTTGATATGATTTCTGCTTGATTACAATTAAAATAGTGATTTGAAATTTTATATTCTCTCAGCTCTGTTTTCTGGTTCAAATTTTGTTTTGACAAGTTGAGACTTAAATGTGTATAGTGTGCTGTAAATTAAATGAACAGGCTTCTGATTTTAAACACTATGACTGCTACTTTTCTTTCAGTTGAGAATCTCCTGTCTGTGACATGTGAAGTTGGGGCCCCTGAGAAGTATGAGAATTCTGTTTTGGCCACACCTGTACTGGCTAAACAAGTCCTTGACCTTGCTTCTACTTTTCCATTTCCCTGTTCTTCCAGGGATAGGAACACTGAGGTCAGCATCTTGCTTGTTTGTTAATAACTTCCTCTCCATTTGGAACTACTTACGTATACATTTATTCTCAATGAATTTGGATAACTCAATTCTTTTCTGGTATTTCCAATTTGTCTTAAGACTGAACTTTTCTTAGGCTTGGACTTGGGGGAGTACCTGCAAAGTTTCTTTAAACTTCAGTCTGAAACCACACCAGTTTCCAACATTTAAAGCCTGTTTTATGTGGAATTACCTTGAATGTTTATTTGGGGGGGGGGGGGGGGGGGGGGGGGGGGGGGGGGGGGGGTTGGCATGGGCGAGTATTAAGACGTTGAACTTGCAATGTGAAATGTATGAGTTTGATGCCCTGCCGTGTTACGTAGGACATTGTATCCTTGGGAACAATACTTTATCCTTTATTTTTTATCCCCCCCCCCCCCCAAACTGCAAATGGGAACTTGCTGATCTTCACAGATGGAGTGTGTTAAGGATGAGCGCCTAACAGGCTGCTACACCATATCTGCCGCCGTAAGGGAAAACGATGAATGGTCAAAATTTTTCAATTTTTACATATTTCATAGAATATTTAATTCTGCATCTGATGGTGTAAAATTTTTTGTCATATCCTAATCTGTTGTTGCGTAATTGAGAGTTTGTCGTTTTCCCTTATACTGGCGAGCTCCGAGCCAGAGCTCAGTGTAAGGGAGAACGACGAATGGTCGATCGGTCAATGGTCTCTACCGTTGGACAAATTCGGCATGGGTGACGAATGACAATTGATCACTGCTGCGTCAGTACAAACATACTCGGCCTTTTAAGCAAACAAACACACCACCACCCCCTCCCCCGGAGTACAATCGACGGATTATAAGAATGCATCACTTTGTGCGTCTTTCTGTCTTTCACGTAGTAGGTCTATGCTGATGGTGTGAATTGACAAGAGCATATGGGAGAGAGGGGAAAACGGATGGGAACAGGGGGAAACGGATGGGGATGGGAGGGTTAAAAAAGTATATTTATTTAGGGAGAAATTTATTAGCACTGCATAGTAGTGTCCGCCGGACGTTCACTGACTGACGTCATATTAGTATGTTGTCCAGTCATTTTACGTCCCAACTATGGTGGTAGTGTCGCAGTTTGTCTAGCACGTGTCACTGGTCGACATCATTATAGAATTACCAAGCAATTAATGACACTGCTTTATGAGAGTACATTTCTTGGTCCAACTTAACTAGTGGACATATTGTGGCGACACAGTCTTGCTTTACAATTTCTTTATGACTTGATGGACGTTACGATCGAGTATAATAATGTCTTGCAGATTCAAACTGTCCTTGTCGATCTCTACTCGGTTGTATATTTTCCCATCAATTGAATGCTTTATTAAATACGACTGACGCTGTACAAAGCGCCGCATCGCCTCTCCCGAGAGCGTTTGCGATACAAACTTGTAAGATTGCTACATGAAAATTTCTTACGTGAAAGTTTGACTTTGCAATGATCTGATCGCATTATTGACATTGTAACATTATTGATCCCTTTGGTCGTGGAGGGGGAATTTTGCAATTAGCGAAAACAAGCTGGGTATCCCGTTCGATGAACGGACTCAAAAGAATCGACCGTCAAGTCATTGTGGAACCAATATGCACTGTTTGTGAACAGAACTCTCACTTGATTATAATGGCGTCTAAGAAGACGAACTTTCCAAGATTAGATCTAAACGAAACTAATGAAAAACTGAAAATTAAACTACAGTGACTTCAGTCTTCATATTTTAACTGTGCACCTTTTAAATGATTCTGAACCACCGTTAATTTCGAATTTAGCACCAATTTCAAAAAGAAAACACGAGGCTGATCTATAATATGGGTCGCGCTCTTGACTTAAAATAGTGCTCAGTATTGCGCGACAATGTGCGATAGTATCGAACGGAAGTACGACTTGAAATAAACAAACCTGGCGGATTTTCTAAAATTCCAGAGACAGAAACGTCGGCCTACAAAAACGATCGGCGAAATAAAGAAATTTAGCTTTTTGCAGCAAAACTGTCTCAAAACTGAAAAAAGCCAAGGGCGTCATGATCTGGGGAATATTTTAAAGAATCTTTTGGCGAAAACCGCACGTCGATCGATGCAGCCATTAAAAAGACTTTTGAACAACAACATTCGGCCACCACAAATAGAAAATAGATAAAAGTAAAACTCGCTTCTGAAGAGAATACAATAAAGAGATATCATGGAGACCAAAGCTGTTGAAAATGTGTGCTTAGATAACACATCTGATTTGTACATTGATTGTGTAGTAGGCCTACTTAACCAAGCGAGGAAGGGAAACGAAGAACGTTTACAGAGTTACAGTAGGGATATAACAAACACCTAGCTTTATACGTGTAATAGCTGGTTTGTATACATAAGAATACGTCCTATTTTTATTTGTAGTAATCTGTACACTGTCATCTCTGTCGGAGATGCGTTACAACTGACCATCGCCCACGCCCATAACACTTCATGAGTGTAAGGGAGAACTACGGACGGTACCATTCGTCGTTTTTGCTTACATCCCAAGGCTCACCTGCAGGCGCGCACTGTAAAGGAGAACGACGAATGTCGAATAACTTTGCTACTTTTCAACCTAAACTGTTCAAACTTTAGAAACTGCTTTATGAACACTTCAATCAGATATCTGGTGAATTACAGCTTAAAAGAGTGAAAAAAAGAAGAGTTATAAAGTGAACACATTTTTTGCCTCTCCTGAAAAATTTGCCTCGCAACCTGCGCAGGACCATTTGTCGTTTTCCCTTGCGACGGCAGGTATGTCCCCAATGGGAGAGAAATTGGTGATAATCTAAAATAAAGGGAGTTACTGTGGAGTGATTTGAGCTTTGTTGGAGGTACATATGTGGAGGTACATGTGTGGTGTCGGTGGCCTAGTGGTTAGGCTCTCGGACTCGCAACCGTAAAGTCGTAGGTTCGAATCCCGTCAGGGGCCCGACGTTGTGTCCTTGGGAAAGGCACTTTACACAAATTTTCCTCACTTCACCCAGGTGGGAAAGGGTACCCGGCTATAGACAGCGAAAGATCTTGTCAGTTTGTTAGTGTTTGAGCACTTAATCAGCTGCTTGCACTGTATGCTTCCCGGGAAGCTGAGCATGTTTCTGAGTGTTCTATGGTCTGCTGGGGTAATAATATAGTGTAAAGTGCATAGAGCCTGCTGCTGAGCGGGGATATGCGCTATACAAATGCTATCTATTATTATTATTATTATTATTATTATTACATGGTGAGAAACATGTTCTTTGTTTTCTTTCTTTTCATGGTCAAGTATATTGGCTTCATGAAGGTGCATGAGCAGAAATATGCTCTTTGCTTTGCTTCTATTGTACATGACCAGAAATATGCTCTTTGCTTTGCTTCTATTGTACATGAGCAGAAATATGCTCTTTGCTTTGCTTCTATTGTACATGACCAGAAATATGCTCTTTGCTTTGCTTCTATTGTACATGAGCAGAAATATGCTCTTTGCTTTGCTTCTATTCATGACAAGGAAGAAGAATGCTTATGTCCATTTTGCTCCAAACATCTGTTTGCAGGTGGAATTTCAAATGTGTATTCATTTGATGAACAAAAGTATTCAGAAGGGAGTGTTCATCCCATCCTTGTGCTGGTCGATGCTCTCTGAGGTAGTGTTATATATCTCTATAGTATTATGTTTCATCATTTGCTTTGCTGAAGATTGGCTACCACAGGAATCCTGAATATATTGAGGTGGTTTCAGGGGAAGTGCGTGCAAGAGCACAGGAATATCAAAACTTTTAAAGGTGAAAAAAAATAATAAAGAGTGTCGGTAATAAATAAAAATAAAATATTTGTAGACCTTATTTCAGTAAATGACTTTTGGAAAATACAGATATGAGATGTTGTGGAACCCCCTGATATAAATAACTCAAACCCAACTCTACCCCCCGGGGCGGTGCCACTGACTGTAGTGTCTTTAGGCCATTCCCAAAGGGGGGACATTTCTCGTTCAAGCATAGTAGAATTGTAAATGGGCTGACTCATGTCATGCTCATAACTGTGCCTGATCTACAACAGGGAACTGCTGCTTTTTCTTTCTTGATCCTTACTACATGTATTGTCATTTTCCTCTACTTCTTTTGTTTGTTTGTCACTCTCTTGTGACCTGCTATTTCCGGGGTGCCTTGATAGTCGAAGCAGACCTTGTGCTGTTGAAGCTAGAGAGGTGAACAGAGTAAGTCTGATTCCCTGTAACTGTAAAGACTTCTCTGTTGACACCCACCCCTTGGCGCTCATATGACCTTATTCAGTTGCGAGCGCTGTAAAACCTTCTATTATAAAAAAAAAGCAAAATCCAACTCAAGATAAGCTGATTTGATGTTCTGGCTCCTTGCTGAAAACTAAGTTTACCGACACATTCCCAGTTCTGGCCGAACGCGTCACGTATATCCCTGCTCTGTGACTCTCCTCCTCAGTGCCAATTGCCCCTGGAGATGCTGTGGAGGCTCCATGAGTGTCAAGCCATTCAACTGGACGCCTATCTCGCCAGGTGAGATCATAGTTCTGCTTGTTGAGAAACTTTTGTCTATGTGGCGTCGGTGGCCTAGTGGTTAGGCTCTCGGACTCGCAACCGTAAGGTCGTGGGTTCGAATCCCGTTAGGGGCCCAACGTTGTGTCCTTGGGAAAGGCACTTTACACGAATTTTCCTCACTTCACACAGGTGGAAATGGGTACCCAGCTATAGACAGTGAAAGATCTTGTCAGTTTGTTAGTGTTTGAGCGCTTAACTGGCCGCTTGCACTGTATGCTTCCTGGGAAGTAGAGAATGTTTCAGAGTGTTCTATGGTCTGCTGGGGTAATAATATAGTGTAAAGCGCATAGAGCCTGCTGCTGTTGAGCGGGGATATGTGCTATACAAATGCTATTTATTATTATTATTATTATTATTACAGGTTTGTTTGGTCTGCTTAGGTGAGAGAAACTTTGACGTTATTGAGAATTGTTGTTGTACGTTTTTTTGGTTTCGTTTCTGTAATAGAAATATTTCTCTTCTATACTTTTTTTTTACTTTGTTGAAAATGTTCTGTTCTCTGGTTCTTTTGAAATTTGTGTGTGTGTGTGTATTATGTGTGTGTATTGTGTGTGTGTGTGTGTGGGGTGATAAATGAGAGAGGGAGGTGGGATATTGTGTGTATGAGAAGAATAGAGAGAAAGAGAGTTTGTGCTTTGGTTTGGATTGAGAACCTTGTTAATCATTGGAGCTCAGTAGCTCAACAGGTGTGGTGTTCACCGGTTAACCCTGAGGTCTGGAGTTCCTCCCCTGCCAGTTTTGGGGTTTTAATTCAAATTTTTAACCCTCCCTGATCCAAGGACACGTTGGATCAAGCACCTCGTCTTCTGGGAACAGGATAAAAAATTTTGGTGGTCCTGTGTGGAAGTTCTGCACGTTACAGATCCCTTGGTGGTTCTAAAATAGAGAAGAATAGACCCTTCAGGCTCCTGTACAGGCGCAACTCAAGTTTGATTCCTAACCAAAACCAAAGCCACTCTCGTCAGTAGAAACTTTAAAGAGTTGACCTACCTTGGAAAATGCCATGTGGCTGTCGGTCAGGCCAGGGATGATTCTGTGATCTGTGTAGATAAAATGGCCATGTACTTCAAAGTCAACAGCACCGTGAGATGAAGATGTGACAGTCACGTACTTCAGTGACTCCCTAAGCTCTAGCACAGTTACTCAGAACTAGAACATTGTTGATCGTCTGTGAGATGAAGATGTGACAGTCACGTACTTCAGTGACTCCCTAAGCTCTAGCACAGTTACTCAGAACTAGAACATTGTTGATCGTCTGTGAGATGAAGATGTGACAGTCACGTACTTCAGTGACTCCCTAAGCTCTAGCACAGTTACTCAGAACTAGAACATTGTTGATCGTCTGTGAGATGAAGATGTGACAGTCACGTACTTCAGTGACTCCCTAAGCTCTAGCACAGTTACTCAGAACTAGAACATTGTTGATCGTCTGTGAGATGAAGATGTGACAGTCACGTACTTCAGTGACTCCCTAAGCTCTAGCACAGTTACTCAGAACTAGAACATTGTTGATCGTCTGGACCCACACTTGGGATGGGGGCTACATAAGTAATTTGCTGTTGTTTTTGTTTGTATAATTTCCTGTTGTTTTTGTTTGTATAATATCCTGTGGTTCTTGTTTTTGTAATTTGCTGTTGTTCTTGTTTTTGTAATTTGTTGTTCTTGTTTTTGTAATGTGCTGTTGTTCTTAAGACTTATGGGCAAAATGTGGCGTGTATTGTTCTTCTTCCTCATACACCTCATGTCCCCAACCATTCCTCTCCTCCTTGACTTCAGCAAAGTCTGTGAGAAGTCTTTTCAGTGTTCCGTGGTCAAGGATCTCGTGAAGCTTTGTCAGTGTACCCAGGCAGATCGTCCAGGGAAGCGGAAGGTGCTTGCTGGTAAATCTATTTTTACTCTTAGGTCAAAGTTGTTTGTGCTTATGGTTGGAGGGTGCCGCTACTGGTAATTCTTATTTTTTAAAAATTAAAAAATTGTGACTCTCTGTGGGACTTTTTCCTGCTGTAAAAGAGGGTTATTACTGCCATGTGCTTCTCTCTACTCAAACGAAAGTAAAACGAACAACATCGTCTCATATGGTTTCTTTTCTTTTCTTTCCACTTCACTGGTGGTAGACACTGGTAGGGAAATGTGTGGGTAGACACTGGTAGGGAAATGTGTGGGTAGACACTGGTAGGGAAATGTGTGGGAGACGCCAGTACATGAGTCGATGGAAATGTTTCATATTTTCAGTATTTGAGGGATTATACTCAACTTTGTTACATCAATTTCTGGATTTTTTTTTTGGTGAGGGAGGGAGCTAGTATTTTTTGGTAAGGGAGGGAGCTAGTATTTTTTTGGTGAGGGAGGGAGCTAGTATTTTTAGTTGGTGACCTTATCCCACTGGTTGCTTGCTGAGAGACTGGCCAATAGATAGAACGTTTGTATTATGCTATGAAATCTGTTGTGGACTAACAAAACTTGTTCTATTTTTCTCGCCAACTATTCTATTTCCAGGATTGACGTCTCATTTCTTGTTGAAAGGTTACTTGGTTGAGAATTCATCGCTTCGAAAAGTAAGTGTTCTTTTCTGTTATTTTTCCTCCATAGCTGTGCTGGAGTCTCGAAATTTTCGCATGGTCATAGTCACAGCAGAAGGGCTGAAGTCCTTTTTTGTTGTTTTGGAAATACTTTATAAAAACTGCCTACCTAAGCCTAAGTCAACCTAATGACTTGAGCAGAAGTGAACATTTCTCAGCAGTTAGATTTTTAGTAAAGTTTCACAACCCTGTGATATTGAGGATACGAAATGAAAAGCACGTTTTTTTAAGAACCAAAAATTATAGACCTGAAAAAAAAAAAGACTCAGCGCTAAACGTGACAATGTGCAACTTTTTCTGTGTCCAAAGTAGGCCCTACTTTTTTTGACAGCACGTTGATGGGGAAACATACATCAGCGCAAGAACAGAGCAAAATGAAGTACAGCTCCAAATAAGAGAGTTGCAGGTCACACCAAACAGGAGAAATTGTTTCAAATGTTAAATTTATAAATGACATACTGTTGGTTTGCTTGTTTACCCAAATGGTCTTTTCACTTTTTAGTTGTACATAGAACACAAATAGGTAAGTATCTAAAGTGGTGAAATGTTGATTTTATCACATCAATAACAATAACAATAATGGCAATAGATTTATATAGGATCTCATAAATCTCAGACTGAAAGTAGGCTCTCTTATGCACTTTACAGCTCATTATTACCTCAAAAGACCCTGGGACATTCCTAATTCATTCTCAGCTTCCTGAGAAGCATTAAGTGCCTTCTGCCATTTTAAGGCACTTCACCTCTTTCCAGTTGCGCCCGTAGAATTTACTGGCCTGAACCGTGTAGCGCTGTGCCTATGGACCGTAGAATTTACGCGCCTGAACCGTGTAGCGCTGTGCCTATGGACCGTAGAATTTATTTACGGGCCTGAACCGTGTAGTGCTGTGCCTATGGCCTGCAGGATTTACGCGCCTGAACCGTGTAGCTGGATCCTGCTCGAGAAGTGAGAGGCATGGTATGCCTAGATAATCTAGACTGGGCTGGCCTATCACGCGATGCGTTCTGATTGTAGTGTCTGCGCATGCCACACCCTCCCTACTCAGTTGCTCCGGCCTTCAATGGTGGTTCGCGTGGGCTCTCCCATTCTTTGTTTCGCTGGATCACTGACAACTTTCTCAACTGGCAAAGTTTAATAATAATGTTTAATTGGTCTGTGCGCTGTGCACAGCAGCAGCAATATTCCGTTATAACCGACTCGCGTGACCGTCTGATTGTGCAATAGCAGTATTTTATTTACAAAGATAAAGAAGGAGAAAAAAATGGGGTTTTAGAATAGAGTCTTTATAACAGACTTCTCGTTGTTTTAGGACTCGTTATAAGTGGACTCCACTGTAATTGGTATCAATATAACCTCTGTCATAGTCCCGTAAATTGAAACAATTTCTCCTGTTTGATGTGACCTGCAACTCTCTTCTTTGGAGTTGTACTTCATTTACAGAGGTGATATATTGAACGCTCATTTACAGAGATGATATATTGAACGCTCATTTACAGAGGTGATATATTGAACGCTCATTTACAGAGGTGATATATTGAACGCTCATTTACAGAGGTGAGATATTGAACGCTCATTTACAGAGGTGAGATATTGAACACTGCTTTGCAGCAAGTTCCAAAATCTGGTTTGAGAAAATGTTGGAGTTGATCCATATGTGCATGGCTCTTTGAAACAATTAGTACTTTGATATTTCACATTTGAAATAATTTTACAAAGAATTTTTCATGTTTAATGCGATCTGGTTGTT